CACATGATTATACTTATTTATGTAAGTATAACTATATATGTGTATTATAAATAACACGTTAATATATTGACACAGACACACATATGTATAATTATATATATTTACAGGTATCTGTATAAACCTGTGATTGGTTTAGAGACTTGCAGGCCTACCTTGTTTGGATCTGGAATGTAAATGTTCGGCATATCAAAGCCACACTTATTGAGTCCGGGTCTTTTGCATATTTCTTGCGCTATTTGCATCATTACTCTCTAGAGAAGAAAACAAATGCATTTTTCGATCAATAGAAACGCATTTGCTCCTTTAGTATGGAGCATCTCATTAGAAAATAATTGTTTGTACTATGTTGGAGGTGTTCAGACTCTTACAAGGTCTCAAAGAATGTCACAGTTAATCAATGACAATGAATTCAGTTCGACTCAAAGCTGTCTTGCAGAAAATACAGGTGCAATTGAGTACACTTTTTGGCCCTTCAAGCAATAATGAGATACATTTAAAAAACTCATCTGCTTATTTTCAGTGTCTATTAAAATCTAAATGGGTGCTGACTATTTCTTTTTGCAGCAGTTTCAGACTGTTTAAGTTTCAAGGTTCTCAGTAAAATAAAGAATCTGAACTTAACTTCTGGTTCCAAACTAATTTGTGACAACAACAATGGTACACTTACTATGAGGAAGAGCCGGACAACAATATAGATGACCAGCTCAAATATTAAACTGAGGACTAATAACAAGAATGTAATATAAATCAGAAAGAGTCGCCTGATCAAGTAAGTTCCAGCATAAAATAAGATTCGTCTGATCAAGTAAGTTCCAGCATAAAATAAGATGTAGAAGTTCTGGTTGTGGTCTTAACTTTCCTTGCCTCCCCATCATCCATAATGTTCCACTCACTTGCCGTTGAAGCCTCAGTTTTACTCAAACTAGTATGTTTTAATAAACTGGCTCCATTGCTCTTTGAGAAAGAGAACAACAATGGACTAATGACCCAGCGAGAGAAGGATTCATTCATCATTTCTGAATTTAATTTGAAAAATTCGTTTAAACAAACTATGCCAACAGTCTACCAAACCGTCAGACTCATTATCTGTTTGAAATAGGATGATTGATGCAAAAATGAAAATGGAAAGAATCTCCAACAAACCAAAAAAAGAAAAACAATACTGTGTGTAGTGACAGTACAAGGCAAAAAAAAAAAAAAATGAACAGTAGGAAAAAGGAAAGGACAACAGAAATGTGAGAATTTATACATGTGAATATGTGGCTGACACATTGATTAAATTGTTTTATCTTAACAACCATTTCTGCTGGTGATATATATTCCTGCACAATTGTGGCACAGGATCTCATCAGTTACAGTATGTTCTGGGAAAGGAAGTGCCTATTATAAATCTTTTCACTTAAAGGTGTCATTCTCAGAAATGGAACAATGGTGTTGGCAAATGTATTCCTGAGCGGTGGCATCTCCATTATACCGCCAACATTCATATAAACACCCTGCTAAGCTGCTTTCACTGTTTTTTTGCCCTACATTGCATTTATCCTGCACTGAATATATTCTTGGTATCAACTCAGGATTGTTTCAAAATAAAAATATAAGTAGGAACAACCATCAGGTCTGAGACTGAGACTGAGTGACTGGAGTGGAAATGTAAGCTCGGTTTCTATCTCTTCACAGATGCTACCAGAACTGTTGAGTTTCTCTATCATTTTCTGCTTTTGTCTATTTTAGGGCGCACACTGTCGGATATGAAAATGATTTTCTGATCAAGACAAGCACTGGAGATCAATCCTCATTATTTACCATTGAAACACCCCTTTACTGTCTAGTATTAATGCTGTTTAGCTAAAACAAATGAGTTATAAAAAAGAACGATAAACTGCCTGTCTTTATACATCCTTCCTGTATTTATACATCTTCTCCCTACTGAAGACCAGACGTGCAGCATTTGAGTCGGGTGATTTGGACCAATGCAGATAATCGAGATATGACCTCCGCAAAGCCATAAGGGAGGCAAAGAAGCTGTACCAGATCACGTTAGAGGCCCAGACCAACCAAACAGACTCCGGCTGTTATGGCAAGGCTTAAATGCCAGTATGGGATACAGAATGAAGCAGTGTAAGATAGTGGACAATGACACATTCCTCCCTGACACACTCAATACTTTCTATGCTCGGTTTGAGCAGCGTACCACCGACGTGGCAATGCCTGCCGTGACAGCCCCAGACGCACCTGTCCCCTCTGTCACCGCTTCAGACATCAGATCAGTCTTCCTGGAAGTCAGCCCAAGAAAAGTGACGGGTCCGGACGGTTTCCCTGGCCGAGCACTCAGATCCTGTGTGCACCAACTGGTGAAGGCATTCACCAAAATCTTCAACCTCTCCCTCCTACATGCCAAAGCCGTCTCGTGCTTCAAGAAGACCGCCATCATCCCTGTACCCAAGAAACCACATGCAGTGTGCCTTCATTACTACAACCCAATAACTCTGGCTTCAATAATCATGAAGTGCCTCGACAGGCTGGTCATGGCCCACATCAACTCCAGTCTCCCAGACCCCCTCGATCCCCTACAGTTTGCCTACCGACGTAAAAGATCCACAGAGGATGCCATATCCCGAGCCCTGCACTCATCCCTGGAACATCTGGACAACAAAGACACCTACCTCAGATTCCTGCCCGTTGACTAAGCTCTGATTTCAACACCATTATGCCCTCCAGACTGATCTCAAAACTGTTTGACCTTGGTCTCAGCTCCACCCTCTGCAACTTGATCCTCAGCTTTCTGACACATCGGCCGCAGTCAGTGAGGATAGGTAACTCCACCTCCTCCACAATATCACTCAAAACTGAAGCACACCAAGGATGCGTCTCATCCCCCTGCTATATTCCCTTTACAGCTCCGACTGTCTTGCCAAATTCTGAATAAACGCCATCAACAAGTTCGCTGACGGCAGCTCTGCAGTGGGACGGATATTTAACAACGACGAATCAAAGTGCAGAAGGGAGATATAGGGCTTGGTGACGTGTGCAATGAGAACAACCTCTCGCTCAACATTGGCAAAACTGAAGAACTGATCATCGACTTTCGAAAGAAAGGGGCAAAACAGGCCGTCATCCACATCAACAGAACTGAGGATGAGATGTTGAAGAGCATCAGGTTCCTCGAAGTGATGATAATCGACGACCTGTCCTGGACTTCTCACATAAATGCGAATGTCAAGAAGGCACAATAACGTCTCTTCTTCCTCAGGCAGCTCAGGAAATTTGGCATGTCCATAAGGTCCCTCACTAACGAGCGGCCTGGTGTGGCATTTATACGGCTCACTACTGCAGAAATGCAGCCAACATCATCAAAGACACATCGCATCCCGTGATGATCTCCTACAACCTCTTCCATCAGGCAGAAGATGCAGAAGCCTGAACACACGCAGCAGAAGATTCAGGAACAACTTCTTCCCAGCCGTTTTTGTTGAGTGGACTCTGGCGTCAAATAATGTAACCTGCAATGTCGCCTGTATGCCTCTAAGTCTTTTTGATGTATACATCCTTTGCTGGCTGTAATCTACTTGTATCACTCGTAAACAAAGCTTTTCACTGTATTCCAGTACGCGTGACAATAAAATCAATCAATCAATCAATATAAAGTAGAAAGTCATGGTGCCATATTCCTATATATTTTATTTTATCTTTTTGTTTTACTTTCCATTGGCATGCACTGGGCTCAGTGATCCAATTCCCCCTGAAGGGGAACTACTACTACAATGAGCTGAGATACATACCTTGTCTGTCACTCTCGTGTCCGGCCTCATCAGCTTTGCTGATGTAGAATCTCAGTTTCTCGCCGTGTTTCTCGTTTATCTTTTCTACAACATTCAGCGTCCGTTTACATAAGGCTTGTCCCATCGGGTCAAAGAAGACAAGGATCAGATCCGCCTTCTCACCTACAGCAAATAAGGCAGTATAACATTAGATTCACACGCCGTGGTGTGAGGTTTTCCGATGTTTCAGCTGCATTTTCCAAGTGTCACTCAAGGTCTTCGATGAAGTAAGATTTCCTGAAAGTTGTCAGATTGATGGTTTTGATTTTGATAACGAGAGATTTATGGTTTTAACAAATCTCAACTAGCAAGCTCCAGCTCCTACAAATTTGGTCAATGTGAGACAGCATTTTGTCAAGGTCCAATTCGAATTCTTGATGACTATCCTTTCGATATACATGCAAACACATTACCTCCAATGAAAGCTTGGTGTCTCTTGTACCTGACCACAGCAATGTGCTTCCGGCTGATGTAGTGATCTGACATTCCACAACTACTCGCCACAGTAATTATGTAGAATGGAGAAGAAATTTGAAAGAAAATTTCTTTTTTTTTGCCTTTTCATTAATGGTTTGAAGTTAATGAAATGACTGATAGAGCATGGTGGCATGGTTTTAAATTTCCACATGACAGGATTTCAGTTTTAAGGATTAAATGAGATGGCTTTTCAAGAAAACCAGAGGAGCTATGGGTATAAGGAGGACATTCAGCGCCTCAAGCCTGCTGCGCAAATTGATTCCATCATGGTTGAACTTATGTCGGCTTCAACTTCACCTTCAAAGGAAATTATCACTGTTTTTAACGAACATTGAAAAGATCATGGTGAGGATCCAAACTGAGTGATACGCTCCCCTAGTTTCGAGTCATGGAAAGTGTCCGTTGCTTTCCTGTGACTTTGACACTGCACACGGACCAGATTTGACAGGGTCTTATATGTCTTTACCAAAAACAATTAGTTCATGACATTGTACAATCAATAATTGTTAATTTCACGATGCAATTTGTCATTTTTTTAGCTTTTATACTTTATTGTCTTCTATGGTTAATTGCACTCAGCACATGAGGTGTATTGCCAGGTTACCCCTGTTTCCATTGCCAACAAATTTCTCCAACAGAATTAGTGAGGCTTGTGTAGTTAATCTTCATATTACTGATCCAATAATATAGGAGGACGATTTAAGAAATCTGAAGTAAGCATGTCAGATAATGATTAAGTTGTATTATGAGCACTTGACATCTCAAAACTTTGCGATTTAAAATAATACATTAATCACAGATGGCACAGAAACTTGCGAAAAGTTGGATGTTCAGAAATTGGAATATTTTAATTCTCAACCTTATCCATATCACGAGTTTGTTGGAAACTCACAGAGTCTTTTGCAAAGAAGTATTAAGTGACTGCAGGAGGAAGTTTGCACAGAGTCTCAAAGAAAGATAACAACGATTGAGAGGCAGAGAGACAAAGGTGATGTGGAGACATATGAATGTCTGCTTTGTGTGGTCAACTGACAGAGGTGCGTTTGAGGGTTCTCTTTCTGTTTGATTGGAAATGAAATGAACAGGCAGGCCTCGTGAAGATTTGTGCATTATGAAATTATCAAATTAGGCCTTTCTGTTGAAGCGAAGTCCTCGATTAGTCCAG